TTAGTAAGCCTAACACAAGGTACTGGCCTCTAGAAGCCTTCTATAAATGTCAATTGCTTTATGTTTTTCACTGTAATTATGTTTTTAATCTCACCAGACTGATGAATTGCTGATATTATGGCTACAATTTAGCTTATCATTCTACCATACCTTAAACATTTTTAACTGCTTCATTCAAGCTAAATTGACAGGGGCTGAGGAGATATTCCAGTTGGTAAAATGCTGCAAGCATCAACACCTCAGCTAGATCCTTAGGGCCCATGTAGTATAGCTGGCTATGGTGGAACAGATTTGTAATTCCAGTACTTGAGAAGTTGAGACTTTTGGGCCCCAGCAGCTTGATCAGCCACATTAGCCAGTTATCAAGCCACAGGCCAAGTAAAGGCCTTATCTCAAAATAAGGTGGGCAGTGACCATAAGACAACACCTGAGGTTGACCTCTAGTGTATATACACACACACATACTCACCCCCCACCCCTATACACCTACTTTAAAATTTTAAGAACACATTTCAAATGTTTACATCACAAAAAATTATTTCAATTAGTAAATAGGTAATTTGCTTGATTTAATCATTCTACACTGTATAAGTATGTGTGTATATGTAGGTATAAAAAATCATGCTGTTCCCCATAAACATATCATTTGTCAGTACACATGAAAACAATACAAATTAAAAACATGAAACATTGTCTCTGCAGTGAGTTAAAAAACAAACAGGTGGTGCACACCTTTAATCCCAGCACTCGGGAATTCAAGGCCAGCCTGGTGTATAGAGAGTTCCAGGACAGCCAAGGCTACACTGAGAAACCCTATCTCAAACAACCCTGCAAACAAATAAAAACTATACCCTGTGTGTGGTTATCCACGTCTTTAATCTTAGCAGTGGCAGGGAGAGGGGGAGTGAGGAGGAGTGGAGCAGAGGCAGGTGAAACTATGTGGATTTAAAGCTAGCCTGGTCTGCAAAGAGTTCCCAACCAGCCATGGTGTCATAGTGAGATTATGTCTCAAAAAAGAAGAGAAAAACGGTAAGATGGACTTCAAAGGAAGTATATGAAAACTGTGTGCAACTGCCACTCTGGTTGGCCTGTTACTTGATATGTACACCAGGCTGGCTTGGAATTTGTGGAGATCCTTCTGCCTCTGCCTCTAAAGCATTAGTGTTACAGATATGAGACATCACATCTGGCCTTGTTTTGTAGTAGTTGCCTGGGAGTTCAAACATTTTATTTTAGAGCAGCAGTTCTCAGCTGGTGGCTCACAGCTCCTTTAGGTTTGCGTGCCACATACCCTGCATATCAGATATTTACAATTCATAACTGTAGTAAAATTATAGTTATGAAATAGCAGTGGAAGAATTTTATGGTTGGCTCACCATAACATAAGGAATTATATTAAAGGATTGCAGCATTAGGATGGTTGAGAACTTGTCTTCTAGAGGAAGGTTCTTTAAAGCTCAGAAAGTTCCAAGTACTAAAAACATTTCTTCTAAAGTAAACAACTCACAAGTCTCAAGAAATTCTTGAAACTAACAAGGTACACAGGGACCCTCCTCCTTCCTCATATACAGCCCCTCCCCCCATTTCCCTCTTATAGAAATAGGAACAGTTGTTAGAGGTAAGAGAGGAGGCAGAGTTTGGAGGGGGCTTTCTGATCTGTTGTGCTACCTCAAGTTGTGCAGAGAGCTCTACCAGTGCAGCTTTCCAGTATCATCACTCAGGTTGTGGTTGATGCAGTTGCCTTTGAGTTAACTGTCCCTGCTCCTCTGATTAATCACAGTAAAGTAATTGGTTTTCCAAATTGCTCTTTGTGTAATTGTCACTTTTGTCTGGAGTTGATTACTTATCCAGGCTGAGTAGACATTAGTTTTCATCTCCACAGTAAGTCTCACCTTACTGTTAGGGTTAGGCTAGGTTTTTCACAGTGAAAGGTCATCTTACCAATTGTGTATGTGTTGATCATATCCCCTTTTTATCAATACAAAGTTTGATATATGTTCTCACAGCTAAGCAACAAGAAAGATGTGTTCTCTTACCCTAGTGTTTTATTTACAAACAACATCAGAAATCCATTATAAAAGTAGATTTAAAAGGTGATTTGTTAAATTGGGCATGGTTGCACATGCCTTTAATTCATCATTTGGGATGCAGGAATAGGAGGATCTCTCTGAGTTCCATGCCAGTCTGGTTGGTTTACATAGTGAGTTCCAGGCCTGCCAGAGCTACACAGTGAAACCCTTTCAAGAAAAGTGTAAAAGGTGACTGGTTCATCAAAAAACACACCCCATTTGTGGCCCTTCTGGCCTACTGGGGCTTTGTTTGGGCTTCTGTGTTTGCTTTTCTTCTTTCTTTCCTCATTTTGATGCTGGCCACTCACTAGAAGGTGGAACTCGACGGTGGAATACAAATGCTTTTCTTGGGGAACATTCTAAATTTGTTCTCTTATCTTCTCTGAGATTCAGTGCTGTGGTCTGGCTTCGGGTGGCTGAGGAACAGTGTGTCTTCTGAATGCTTTTCTTGGTGGTCTGCTTCTTGACTCCATGCCCTGTGCTTATTAGTTTTTCTGCTTCTCTTTCCCAGTGGTGTGTGGCATTGCCTCACTTGCAGAGCTCTAAGACTCACTGTGCTCCAGGCCTTGGACTTTCCCCTGGTTTAGAAAGGTCTTTTGTGCTTTCCTAGAAAATTGGGGATGAATCAGGTGCTATTTGGTAAGGTATGCTGATCCTTGTGGGATTCTAGTTTGATAGTTGTTTAAACAGGATGTAGCAATTTGGATTGGGTTTGGGAGGGAGGATTGTTGCCAAGTCTCTGAAATAGGCCATTGACCTTATCCTTTACCCCTTATTTTCCTTTTGTTTGTTTGACTGGGTCTCTTATGGCCCAGGCTTGACTTCTGTGTCTTTGAACAGTTCCTGATCCTCCTATCTCTCCTTCCCAAATGCTGGGATTGTGGATATATGCCACTATACCCAAGTCTCCTTTACTTTCCTACCCTGTCTTTGAGATGGGATTTTGCTATGTAGCCTTTGATTGGCTGTGTAAACCAGGGTGGCCTAGAATTTAGGGCCAATTCTTCTGCCTTTCTTTGCTTCTTTAGTGCTGAAATTTCAGGCACATATAAAAAAAACCCCTTATTTCACGACCCTCCTCTTTTGAGGAAAGGTCTCAATTATATAGTACTGCCTGTCTTACTTAATATGTAGAACAGGGTAGCCTCAAACTCCCAAAGATCTGTCTGCCTCTATGATGGGATTAAGGGCGTGTACCATCATGCCTAGCCTCGCCCCCTTATTTTTCATCAGAAGTTAGTGAAGAGAGATTTCCCTAGTCTGTGGTCACATAGTAGGCTGGGTGTCATGCCTTTGGAGCAGCTTCAAGTTTAGTATTTTTCCTCGGCATTGGTGGTAGTTGAAGAGAAAAGTATAGTTTAATATGAGTAAACACATCTTTTTGTTGTTATTTTTTCAAGTCAGGGTCTCACTAAACAACTATGACTGTCTTGGAAATCACTGTGTAGACCATGCTGGCCTTGAACTCACAGAGATCCTCCTGACTCTGCTTCTTAAGTGCTGGGACTAAAGACGTGTGCTACTATGCTCAACTGAGTAGGTACATCATAATTGTGAGTTGATTGATAGATAATATGGGTATAGTTAAAATTCAGCAATTTTGTCATTTTCTGGACTAATAACAAGAAAAGCTTCTAGAGGGTAGAACAGAATCACAATGCAGTGAACTTTTAGCCATTCAAAATATACATGCACAAAAATCCCAACTTAAATTATTCTAAAATGGCCAAGTGATGATGGTGCATACCTTTCTTCTCAGCACGCGCAGAGGCAGACAGATCTCTGTGAGTTGGAGGCCAGCCTGGTCAACAAGAGCTATTTCCGGGTTGGAGAGATGGCTCAGTCGTTAACGGCTAGGCTCACAACCAAAAATATAAGAGTTAGGTTCCCAGCACCACCACGGCTGTCTCTCCCAGCCACCTTTTTTTTTTTTTTTTTTTTTTTTTTTAGTTAAAAAAAAAAAAGAGCTATTTCCCGGACAGGCTCCAAAGCTACCCAGAAACCCTGCTCGAGGTGGGGAGGATTCTAAAATGAAGAAATAGCTGTTTTGGGTAAAGCCAGAGTACTGGCAGAGTGCTCTAATCCCAACTCTAAGGAGGAGTTATTTCTCATTATTTCTTCGTGGGTCCCAGATCTGTTTCCTCTCTCTGATTTGATTCTACTTTCTGGCCTAAAATGTAAAGAATATTATTTCTTGGGGCTGAGAGATGCCTCAGAGGTTAAAAGCACTGACTGTTCTTTGGTCCTGAGTTCAATTTCCAGCAACCACATGGTGGCTCACAACCATCTATGATGAGATCTGGTGCCCTCTTCTGGCCTGCAGGGATACATGCAGCCAGATGCTGTATACATAATTAATAAATAAATCTTTTTTTTTTAAAAAAAAGAATATTATTTCTTCATGTGTCCCAGACTTGTTTGCTCTCTCTGAGTTGACTCTACTTTCTAGCATAAAATGTAAAGAATAAAATTACACAAATTTTAACCCTTTTAAAATATTTTTTAATGCTTTGTTTATTATGTATACAGTGTTCTGCCTGTATGCTGGAAGAGGACACCAGACCTCATTATGTGGTTGTGAGCCACCATGTCGTTGCTGGAAATTGAACTCAGCACCTTTGGAAAAGCAACCAGTGCTTTTAACCTGAGCCATTTCTCCAGCCCCTTAAAATACTTTTTAAATTAAAATTTAAAATTCCTTTTATTTATTTGTATGTGTACTCATTCGAGCATGTAGAGGTCAGAGGACAATTTGCAGGGATCTTCTTTTCCTTCTCCCGTGTGGGACCTGGTGATTGAACTAGTGGCAGGTGTTTTTACATGCTATTTTTTTTTTTTTGAGACAGAGTCTCATGTAGTCCAGAATACCCTAAAACTTGATAAGTACCTGAGTCTTGTTTGGGGGACAAATAATAATCTTTGCCTGCTGTCTCTTTTATATTTCCAAAATATGTTCTCTTCTTACTAATTATTCTTTCTTTTTTTATTAAACAGGCTACCAAGCAGTTTCTTGAGGAGATCAACAAGTGGACAGTTCAGTACAATGTTTCTCCACTCTCTTGGAACGTGGCTGTCAAGTTCCTCATGGCCAGAAAGTTCGATGTGCTTCGTGCTGTAGAGTTGTTTCACTCCTACAGAGTACGTGGGTCAGGGCTACCCTGTGCTGTAATGTGGTCTGTAGCAGTTGAGCTAAGTATTGCTGTTCCTTCTGCTCTCCTCACACACACTGAGCTCTAGTTCTCTCCCGTACCTGTTAAAAATGAATCAATGGCCAGGTGGTGGTGGCTCACGCCTTTAATACCAGCACTCGGGAGGCAGAGACAGGAGGATCTCTGTGAGTTTGAGGCCAGCCTGGTCTACAAGAGCTAGTTCCAGGACAGGCTCCAGAGCCACAGAGAAACCCTGTCTCGAAAAAAGGATCAACGTCCAGCAGCTGTGAGAGCTGAGATTGGATTGGCCAGTTCCTGGAAACAGTCTTTATGTACCCAGAGTTTGCTACTCTGGGAGGCTAAGGAAGTACCTCGGTATTGGCCTGTGACAACTCCTTCTTGGAGTCTGAGTCCTTGTTCTTTTCTGCCTCCTGGCTGACCTATTTGGTGCACTTCACAGGTGTGTGAGGTCCTTTGAAGTTTTACAAAGCTTAGGTGGGGGGATATTAACTCTAGAAAAGAAAAACAGGTATATTAGCTAGGTTCTGTTCTTAGAAGTTACCTTTTATTTTAATTTTTAAGAACATTTTTTTACTTTATGTGCATTGATGTATGTGTGAGGGTGTCAGACTTGGAGTAACAGACATTTGTGAGCTGTCATGTGGGTGCTGGGAATTGAACCTGTATCCACTGGAGAATGACCAGTACTCCTAACCGCTGACTGCCTCTCCAGCCCCCTTGTTTTGTTTTTTTTGACACAAGGTTTCTCTATATCCTGGAATTCACTTTGTAGACCAGGCTGGCCTCAACTCACTGGAGTTTCTCTGCCTCCCGAATTGCTGGACCAAAGGCATGCACCATCATGCCTGACTCCATAGCTACAATACTAACAGTGCCATGATTGCTACCTAGAAGAGAGAGTAAATACACTCACAGATGTGTTCTGATAAGAGAGTAGTACTCTGGAAGAGCATTTAGCTAAGCAAAGGAAGCATTCCTAAAAGAAATAGCTTCTAGCTGGACATAGTGGGTCGCTCCTTTAATCCTAGCATTCAGGAGGCAGGGGCAGTTGATCTCTGTGGATTCCAAGCCAAGCCTATTCTATGTAGTGAAGTCTAGGTCAGCCAGGGCTGAATAGTGAGTGGCACCTTGTTTCAAAAACAACCAAACCAAAAAACCACACCTAAAGGATGAGTAATAATCAAGTCCTGGTGAAGTATGGTAAAGAAAGCAGTGTGGGCTGGAGCGATAACTTAACTGTTAAAGGTTTACAACCAAAATACAAAAAACTGTAAGTTCAGATGCCCAGTGCTGCAAAGTAAAATTTAGCAAAGCCAGAATGTTTAGTAGGAGTCAAGTTATGGTAAGAGACTGAGAGTGCAGATCAATAAAGCCAGGTCGTTAAGGCCTCAGAAATCCATTAGTAATACAAACAACATGGTAGAGTTTTCCATATTTGCATTCCAGAAAGATTTTGACACAGTAGTTTTTGGAGACTGTATCTCAGCTGTTATCCTGGAGCCAGAAAAGTCAGTTTGAAGACTGTTTTATTTACAAGGAGAGAGAATGGCAGTATTATTAAGCACATAATGTCAGGGGAGGTGGAGAAAAGTAGACAGAGCTGCTTAAACTAGTGTGTGAGGAGGAGTGGGTATCTGGATTGGGACTAGTGAGTCAAGATCAGTGCTGGCCTTCATTAATTTAGGAGACAGGACAGTGGGGTGGGCTCATGGTAGAAAGAAGGGCATAATTTTAATTTTTCTGTGCCTGTGGGATACCCAAATAGACATGTCTGTCCTTAAAGCAGATAGAATCTGAGCATGGGCTATAGAAAAGAAATCTGCCCTAGAAATAGAGTTTTCTGAATGACCAAACTAGAGCGACCATTGGAGGCATCAGAGCAGAGTTCCCGATAGGTAACTCTGGACAGAAATTGTGGTAACAGTTAACTGCCCTGGAATGCTAAGACATGTTACAAAGGAACTCACAATTCATTTAGTTGATTTTTAACGTGCCTTAGCTCCAAGCTATGTAAAGTTGTTCTGGATATATCATATTTCCATATTAATTCATCTCTTTATTATTTCCTTTTTAGGAAACAAGAAGGAAGGAAGGCATTGTGAAGCTGAAACCTCATGAGGAACCTCTCCGTTCTGAGATTCTCAGTGGAAAATTTACCATCTTGGTGAGTCTTTAGAACCTGTCTGTGCTTTGTTACTTTCTCTTGTCCTATTTGGATTTTTTTGCCTAGGTTCCTTATCAACACATTTCCTACTAAATTATTCTAATAATAATTGAATAATTACTAATTGAAAATTACTAGTTATTAATAATAGTTGAATTATTGAGCTTTGGAGCAGTAGACTTAAACATTTTTCTTCATTGATCCATCTAAGTTGTCGGTCAGCATCTTGGGAAGGCTAACAGTGTGTCAGGGCATAGCATACCCTTACCTAATGGAAGCTCTCGTTTATAGAGATCTCTTGGTCTCTCAGATGAATATGTAATAATATGTTTAAGGTAGCATGGAAACCATTATCTTGATCTGTTTTTCTCCATCCTGTCTGGGAAATTAGTTACCAATCCAATGCAGAATTATCCTTGGATTTCTCTGCAGTTGAAGAAAATATGATTTTTTTTTTAAAGCCACAAGAATATGGTTCTAGGAAATGCTGATAGGATCAGACGTGGGTAATGATAGCATTTCTCCCTTTATGGAAGAACAGATGCAAAACAAGAAAGTTTTGTTAGAACTGTTCTTGTCATATGTCAACTCTTTATCCAGGATAATAAGTCTAAAAGATTGCTGTGATTTTTTTTATTATTATTATTTGATTTCTAAATATTTCTTGTTTATTTGCTTTAGAATGTTCGAGATCCAACTGGAGCCTCCATTGCCCTTTTCACTGCCAGGTTACATCATCCTCACAAGTCCGTCCAACATGTGGTACTTCAGGCCTTGTTTTACTTGCTAGACAGAGCTGTGGACAGGTGAGCACTGAGATTGTCTTATAGTTATTACCTCATTAGGAAAGTGACAGTTTTGAATTGATAAAATTCAGAAGTGCTCCTACCATGTTCCTAGGATACAGCCTAAACAGTCTCTAAGTAGAAAATACCTCATGTTGTGAGTGTTTATTCCTAGCACCATCCTGATGCTGGATGCTCTTTGTTTGCATTCCCTTGCCTATTTTAGGATTAACAGAAGCTGAGAAAGACAATTCATAACAGTTGTTAATACATTGAGGATAGAGGAAAGAGCCTGTTGATTCCGTGTGTGTGTGTGTGTGTGTGTGCGCGCGCGCGCGCGCGTGTGTGTGTGTGTGTGTGTGTGTGTGTGTGTATTAATATAAGGCATCCATATGCTATCATTAGGCTAAATCCTAATCTGTCTTTTTTTTTTTGAAAAATATTATTAACCTTTCACTTTGAGATACAGTCTGTCTTAGTTGCCCAGGCTGGGCTTGAAATCATTCTATAGCTTAGTCCAGATATGAACTTGCTGTCCTTCTGCTTCAGCATTTCAAATAACAGAGGTTATAGGCCTGTAACACCAGACCTAGGTCATCTATTTATTGTTTTTGTTCATATTAAAACCCTCTGGGTGCTAGAGATATGGCTCAGAAATTAAGAGCACTGGATGCTCTTCTAGAGGACCCAGGTTCGATTCCCAGCACCAGTTAGATGGTGACTAACAACCATCTGCAACTCCAGTTCTAGTACATCCGATATACATGCAGGCAAAACACTCACATACATGAAATAATAATAATAATAATGATAATAATAATAATAAATGCTACCACCAGCAACTCTCTGGGATAACCTGGGGATATACGGGGGTAGCTACTTGTCTAGCAGGTGGAAGACCCTAAGTTCTTTCTGTAGTATGGAAAAACAAAGATATAACAAGCCAGGCCCAGGCAAATCTCTGGTTTTGAGGCCAACCTGCTCTACAGAGCTTGTTCAAGAACAGCAAGGCTAGCTGGGTGGTGGTGGTGCACACCTTTAATCCCAGTACTCGGGAGGCAGAGGCAGGCAGATCTCTGTGAGTTCGAGGCTACCCTGGTCTACAAGAACTAGTTCCAGGACAGGCTCTAAAGCTACAGAGAAAGCCTGTCTCGAAAAACCAAAAAAAGTTTATAAACAAGAACAGCAAGGCTACACAGAGAAACCCTGTCTTGAAAACCAAAAAACAAACAAACAAACAAACAAAAAACCAAAAAAACCAAGCCAATCAAACAAACAAACACCAAGCCAGGCCTAGTGGTATCTACAGTCGTAGCATTCAGGAAGCAGAGGCAGGAGGATCACCTCAAATTTAAGGTTTGCGAGGTCTATATAGTAAGTTCCAGGCTAGCTAAGGCTACATAGAGAAAAATTTGTCTTGATAAAAACTAAACCAAAACAACAAACCAATCTGGAAGCTGGGGTTATGTGGCTCGCTGGTGGAGTGCTTGCCTAGCTTGCCTATTGCCCTGTCTTCCTAGCACTACAAAAATAATTAGCTAGCTGGGTTGGTGCATGCCTTTAATCCCAGCATTCTGGAAGCAGAGACTGGTGGGTCTTTGTGAGTTTAAGGTCAGCTTGGTCTACATAGTGAGTTCTAAGCTATCCAAAGCTATAAGGTGATTCCCTGCCTCACAAAAAGAGTGTGTGTCAGGGGTTGGGGTGCCGGGAGATGACTTAGCAGTTTTGAGTACTGGATCAGAGGACTGGATCTCTATTTCCAACAACCATTGGTAGCTCCAATCCCAAGGGTATCTGACACCATCTTTGACTTCTGTGGTTACTAGACATGTGGTGTACATACATGCATAGAGGCAAAACGCTCTTTTCATATAAGCTTGGGGACCTGGAAGGAAGAGGGAGCTGACTCTTAGGAGTTGTCTTCTGCCTGGTACATGCCTCTCCTCCCTACCCATGATGATAATAATTCTAATAACCTTTTGGGTCATAAAAGCATGTAAAGATCTCGTTTAACTTTGAATGAAATATTTGTATTGAATTAAATGTTTGTTAATTGGTTTACAGCTTTGAAACTCAAAGGAATGGATTGGTGTTTATCTATGACATGTGTGGTTCCAATTATGCCAACTTCGAGCTAGATCTTGGCAAGAAAGTCCTAAACCTGCTGAAGGTAAGGTTGTAAAGGGGAAATCCTTTTAAGTCTCGCTCTTGCTCTCAAACTAAAACAATTACAACATAAAGCGAATAAAAAACTGAAAAGGAAATAATGAAAATGAACAATCTCAGGGAAATTCTTAGTTATAAAAGTGTCCTTTTCCAGAGTTTTGTGGAACAGTAACTCATAAAGGCCTACCCATGGGAACTGTGAGAAATGCCAGCCAACAGGAACTTTCTAGACATGTACTGGTCAACTCAGGGTAAAGTGTGTTTTGCATTTTACTTAGTGCGTCACTTCAGTGCATGTGAGTTCATTTGGTCTACCCCTTCTTCATGTAGAATTACATACATATACAGATGTGTGTAAGTCCTATACACATAGTTTCATAGTTCCTTATCCCTAAGTCCTAGGCCTAGTGACTTGTTTTGTAAATGTATGTATACATGTATGTGTGTGTATGTGTGTGTACAGGTGCACTTGTGTGCTTGTTTATGTGGAGGAGAGCAGACAACCTTACGTGTCATCCTCAGGCATGTTATCTACTTTTTTGAGACATAGTCTGTTATTGACCTACAGTTCACCAGTTAGGCTAGACTGGCTGGCTAACATGCCCCAGGGATCCTCCTGGTTTTGCTCCAACCCCTCGGATTATAAATGTGTGACACTACACTTAGCAATTTTGCATTAGTTCTAGAAAACGAATTAAGATCCCTGTGCTTATGGGGTAAACACACTACCCACTTAGTTAACTTCCCCAGCCATAAAGGTATTTTTGCTTTTTTATTTTAAAAGGTGATGCGGTAGGGCTGAAGATATAGTTAACAAAAGTATGGTCATAGTAATGGTTGAGGACTCACATCTTGATCCAATAGCTGGAGAGGAACACGCTGGGATTTGTATTAGTCTTTTGAAACTTTGAAGCTTGCCCTCAGTAATACATCTTCTCTAACAAGGCCACACTTCCTAATTCTTCCCAAACACTTCACCAACATGGAAACAATTACTCAAATATGGGGCCATTCTTATTCATTCTACTAGAATTGGCTGCATGAGACCATGTCACAAATAATAGTACCCCCACATACAGAAACTTCATTATAATGTATAACTATTTAATATGATTAAGGAAGATTGAATGACATCAAATAAATTGTGCAAGCCAGCTATGGTGACACATGCCTATAATCTCAGCACTCATGGTAGGAGTTCAAGATCACCCTGGACTACATAACCAGATCCTTTGTCTCAGAAAACGAAAATAAAAATGCACAAGTGAAATAACATAACTGTTCAGGAGTTGGGAGTGTAGCTCAGTTGGAGAGTATGCACTTGACATTTGTGATGTGTATTGTCATGGGCTTATAAAACTAGCACTTGGGAAGCTTAGGCGGGAAGTTTGCCAAAGATTTAGGGCCGGAATGGGCTACATATGAGTGCCATCACAACCCAGGCTGACTGTAGATAATACCCTGTTTTCAACTAAGGTAAAACAGCAAAACAAAACAAAAATATTTGGGCCAGGTTGTCCTAGAACAGGATAAAAGCAGAGGCAGATGGATCTCTGTGAGTTCAAGGCCAGCCTGAACTCCTTAGCAAGTTCCAAACCAGTCAGAACAATATAGTGAGACCCTCTCTCGGCAGGGTGTGGGGGTGGAGGGGCATTTGTGTTTCTAGAATAGCATTACAGAAATCCAATTGACTAAAGGATATATGTACATTTTAAAGAATATATAATGGGCTGGGCGGTGGTGACACATGCCTTTAGTTCCAGTTCTCAGGAGGCAGGGGCAGGACGATCTCTGTGAGTTCGAGGCCATCCTTGTCTACAAGAGCTAGTTCTAGGACAGGCTCCAAAGCTACAGAGAAACCCTGTCTCAAAAAAAGAAAAAAGAGGGAAGAGATGGCTCAATGGTTAAGAGGCTCCTAGAGAACCAGGTTCATGTCCCATCAAACACACGGCAGCTCACAACTGTTTGTGGTTCCAGCTCTCCAGGTATCCAGCATCCTCGCAGCAATTCACATAACATAAAAAATTTTTAATTAAAATAAAAGGATATATAATGGAAATGTTGGACTCTAGTGTCCAAACCGAGAAGGAGTCGCCCCCAGAGACCACCTCATATACCACAGCCGATGCAAAAGCATGAGGATTTTATTAATTCTGTCATGACAGGGTCCCTCAGCATTCGGGAAGCCGAGAGACCCCGACTAGCTGGTACAGTCTACTTTTAAAGGAGAAGGCCTCATAGAAACAAGAGGGATTGTTCCTTGACCATTATGATTGGCTTATTCGAAAAGGGCTAATACCAATAATTGACTGGAGAACTATTGTCAGATCAGGGAGGTAAGAGGTCATTTTGACCCCGTTTCCCAGGGGACTGAGTCAAAACATACGTGTATGGGTAATTGTTCAGGAACTGAGTACGTGCATGTGTAGCTGTTAGGTCCTTGGTTCCCAGGGGAGGAGGGGAAGCACTAAGGCACGAAGGCTGAGAGGGTTCAGAAATGGCTTCAGAATTGTCTTAAAGTCTTACAGAAATTGCCTCCTAAAGACACCATCAATGAGCAGGTCTACCAAGTCTGAATGAAAAAGCCTTTGAAGGGGCTGGAGAGATGGCACAGAGGTTAAGAGAACTGACTGCTGTTCCAGAGGTCCTGAGTTCAATTCCCAGCAACCACATGATGACACACACCCATCTATAATGAGATCTGGTGCCCAGAATACTATATACATAATAAATAAATTAAAAGAAAAAGAAAAAGCCTTTGAAGAACTTTGTTGTATAGTCTGTGTAGAGAGTGATTGTAAATTTCTCAAATTTAGTAGAACCAAAACTAACTGGAGCCCAGTAGTGGTGTCACATGCTTTTAATCCCATCACTTGGGAGGCAGAGGCAGGCGATCTCTGTGAGTCCAAAGCCAGTCTGGTCTACAGAGTAAGCTCCAGGACAGCTGGGGCTACACTAAGACAAAGAAGCAAACAAACACTCAACTGAAAAGACAGAGAAAAAAGTGAAATTGAGAGTGGTTTATTCAAAATGGAAGAAAAATTAGGGTAGGAGTTTTTTTTTTTCCCCTGGAGACAGGGTTTCTCTGTGTAACTTTGGAACCTGTCTTGACACTCACTCAGTAGACCAGGCTAGCCTTGAACTCACAGAGGTGCCTGTCTTGTCTCTGCCTCCTGATTGCTGGAATTAAAGATGTGTGCCACTGCCTGACCAATTTTTTTTTTTTTTTTTTTTAGACCAGGCTGACCTTGAACTCACAGAGATTCTCCTGCCTTTGGCTCCTGAGTGCTAGGATTAAAGGTGTGTGCCACCACTGCCAAGCCATATTTTTTGTTTTTTGAGATTGGGTCTTTCCCAGGGACTTGGGGCTCATTGATTATTAGGCTAGGCTGCTGGTTAGTGGGCCTCGGGGATCCATCTCTTTGTCTCACTTGTGCTGGTATTACATGCCTGGGTTTTTATGTCGGCACTGGAGGTTGAATTCCGGTCCTCTATACTTGGATGGTATGTGTTTTACGGATTGAGCCATCCCTCCAGCCCCCTGATTTCTTATTACATGGGAACCCTGCCCCCAAGAAAGGCTGGAATGTTAAAAATTGGAATGAAGCAAAGCACTGTGGCTTAGCAGTGATATGCCATCTTTATGTCTTGTAGACACAGGATTATCTCTTTTTTCCCTCTAAGAGTAGTTTAGACTATTTCCTTTTCTGAGACCTAATTTGTACTTGTACACACTTAATCATATTTATTTATTTATGTATTTATTTTGTGGTGTTTAGTATCAAACCTAGGTCATGTGCATGCTAAACACACACTATCACTGAGTTATACCTCCAACCTAGGTTGTGTATCTTGGTTTAATAAATAAACAAGTGGAGAAAACACTAAAAATAGAAATATTATAGATGGGCAGTGGTTGTGCACACCTTTAATCCCAGCACTTGGGAGGCAGAGGAGGCGGATCTCTGAGTGTGAGACTAGCCTGGTATATAGAGGATGTTCCAGGACAGGCTCCAAAGCTATGCTGAGAAGCCCTGTTTTTAAAAACAAAATATAACAAATAAAAGAAATATTATACACACACACACACACACACATGCACACACACACATATCAAACTAAAACTTATATAAATAAAATGTGTATCTTCAGTTTATTAAAACCCTAGGTTTTAATAAGCTGAACTTTTATAGGATGCATATGTATGTGCTGGTGTGTGATATGTGTAGCATAAACAGAAAAGTCAGGGCTGCGAGATGACTCAGTGGGTAAAGGCTATTGCTGCAAAAGCCTTGTGGCCTGTGTTCAATACCCAGAATCCATATGGACACTGTGGAACTTATGCACCCACTCATCAATAATAAAAAATAAAAGAATAATTTGTGATCCCTCAAGTGTATGGTTGACATGAATGTAACACCCATTTAAAGGTGATCAGCTTCTAGCTTCTTTCTTTCTTTTTTACAAGACAAGGAAAATAAAATTTTATTTATTCATGAAACTGTACATAGCAAAACATAATTAATAACTTCAATGTTGTACTGTCCAATTTTCAGTTCTTAAGTAACATTATTTACCACATAACTTTCAAAATCCGGTCCAGTGCATCAAACAGAATTAAATAAAAGCATTTCCTCTGGTAATGGTTTGTTCACGGTGACTCACAGGTCTGTGAAGGACCATCACTTAAGGAGGCTCTGGGTTAGAATCACAGGATAGCTGAATTTCTGGTCACAGAGGTCTTAGCCCTGGTGTATGCAAATGTTCTACAAGGGTATGGTGCGCACAGGCACGATCTTCCTCAAGCCTCTCAGAGCAGCACCCTCCTGCTGTGGGCACTGCATCTCCGGGGTTGACTTTGAAGATGTGTACATGATGGTGTGTGATTTCTTACAATCTCCTTTTTCCAGTGTGCTTGTAGTTTCTTTCCTTTCTTTCACCTCTGTTGAAAGCTTTGATTCTGCAGATGGGTAATGGACCGTCCATGAGCTTTACACATTTCTTCTCCGTCTTTGGCTGCATCTGCAGAGGTGGACTCTTACGAGGAGAGAGGCTAGCTGGCTGAATGGCTGAAGAGGCCAGCAGTCCCCTCTGCACAATGCTATCATTTAAGCTATTAAGGCAGGACTCTTTCTCCTCTCTCTGAAGTAGCAGTCTAGAAACTTCCCCAATGGTGCTGGCAGCAGGTGTCTCTTCTGAGGGGTTACATCCAATGGCAGCACCTCACACCTCTTTCTGAGCACAGGCGCTTCAGTTTTCTCTTCAGGTTTAGGTTCGTACTTCAGCTTTGATTCATCTAACTTAGCTCTCAGTTTTATATTTTCACTTTCTGAAAGCTGCAGGCATCTTTCATTCGCAAACAGTTTCCGGTCAGTATCCAGGGTCCGCTGGCTCTCAAACATTGCCTTCATTCTCTGTGTGGATAGCTCCCCTTTTGTGCTTTCGTTTTCTTTTTTTAACTTATCAAGATTTAGTTGAAGTAAATATGCATAATAGGTGCTGTCTTCTAGAGAACGAGGGCTGGCCAATGCGGAAGGCCTGGATTCCATACTTTCATATAAGGTCTGAAATTTCTCCAGATTTTTAATTTCACCTAAAAGGGGTTTTATTTCATCATTCTTCTGTTCCAACATGGCAAACAACCGTTCCTGCTGTTCCAACTCAGTTTGAGATCCCCGCCTCCTCAGCAATGTGGAGATTTGTAACTTCATTTTGTTCATCTGCTCGCTGGTGAATGCATTGTGTTTCTTCAGCAACTGATATTTGACTTTCATCAAATTGAGCTGGTGTACCATAGCCACCCTTCGATCATCCACTTCTGCAAACAGGGAGTTGCCTTTACTGTTGGGATCTAAGGCTTGCTGAAGCGCGTGACCCAATTGCACCTGAAGATCTTGTTTTCTACGAGAGCTTTCTCTAAGGCGTTATAATACCACACCACTTCCTTCTCTTGCTCCTCTTTTTCTTCTTGAAGCCAGCCGGTCTACCCGATGCATTAAGGAAGCATTGGAACATTCTAGTTGTTCTTGTTTCCACTGCAGCTCGTTTACCTCTTCTTGGGGTCTTCACATCTTCCATTTCATTTAGCTCAGTCTGAAGAGCCAGCACCTCCAAAGACATGCTATTGAGCATGTGCTGCTCAGACATTAGCCGGAACTCTTCCAATTTGTGGGCGAGAACTTCCTCCTGGTGGTCCAGCTTCTGCTTCAGCTGCTTCTCACTTAACCTCGCTTCATCTAATTCCATTTTCAGTTTCTCTAACTTATCTTTAAGGTCGTTCACTTCCTGCCGCTAACTTCTGTTTAGCTGCATCTCTAACTGCTCCAGCTGCATTTTCTGTTGTTGTTTCAAAGCTTCACATTCACAGCTCAAACTTTCTAACATTCCATTCTTGTGCTCAGCTTCTCTTTGAAGGGCATACTTCTCTTGGTTATAACCCTCAGTAACAGTCATCATTTCTTCATGACATTTACCCAATTGATTCTGCAATTCAGTTTGCCTCTCCAAGAGCTGTAAGCCGTACTGTGTAGCTTTCAATCGCTTCTTTTCACACTCTTTGAGTTTGCTTCGAAGACCTGTGATCTCTCTCTCCATGCTTTCTGTTTTCAGCCTACTCCCAGCTCATGCTTCCCAGTGCCGCAACCAGAGACTTGTCCAGAAAGCACCGGGTGCCCAGATTCGTGTCGGTACATCCACCTCAGCACAAAAAAAGCTGTCCTTCTAGTTTCTTTCTTTTAATCATTGCATGCCTACCAATTTGTCTGAATTGCTCTGTCAAGTTTCTGTGTTGACTATGAATGAAGAAGAGTGAAAAGAAGCCATGCTTTAGGCCATACAAGTATCATTGGTTTTAACTCCTCATACATTTTCTCTGCAGGGAGCTTTTCCGGCTCGTTTAAAGAAGGTGCTGATTGTAGGAGCACCCATATGGTTCCGAGTGCCGTATTCTATCATCAGCCTGCTCCTGAAGGACAAAGTCCGGGAGAGGGTAAGGCAAGCCAGCCTTTTCTTATTGGAGGCAGATAAGTAGATTCTAGTGTCTGCCGGTGAGCTCTTGCCAATTACTCTTCTGCCTTCAAAGAATCCTCCTGTTTATTCCCCCAGAACGTTTTCTGCTCCTGTATTCATTCACACCCTCCATGTAGTCCTTTGCTTGGGACAGAATACCCCTTCACTATCCACACATTTGTTGTGGTTATGGTTTATCTGACTCCTCATTCACAACACCTTGAGTAAACAGTATTGAACCAGTGTGTCCCAGAAGTATTTTTATTTTTTAATAATTTATTTAACGTTATTTTATGTGTGTTGGTGTGAAGGTATCAGATCCCCTGGAACTGGAGCTACAGACAGTTGTAAGCTACCGTGTGGGTGCTGGGAATTGAACCTGGGTCCTCTGGAAGAACAGCCAGTGCTTCCAGCCACTGAGCCATTTTTCCATTTCCCACAGAAGTATATTAAGGATTATATAATTTCCAAAGTTGATTTGGTACTGCATAAGGCACTATTAATATTTAACAGTATTTAAATGTTGGGAGTGTAACTCAATGTCAGCATTGCTCAAGGGTCTGGATATAGTCCCTAATACCCCAAACCAAAACCAAGACCAAAAATTAGCATTTAATATAATTATGTTACTGAACTGGTATTAGAATTTATTTGGGGCTGAGCATGTAGCTTGGTGGAAGAGTACTTAGCTAGCTTATAAAAGGTTCCTAGAGTCTGTCTCTACACAGAGAGACAGACAGAGAGACAGAGAGGTTTATTTACTGGAAAGTACTATTAAGTCCCTGTGACCTTCAGAGTGGTGGGGAGGTCTCTCCTGAGTTTACTTGTCATTCTGTAGTTGAGGCCGGCTAATAGCTCCTCACTGGGTTCTAGCAGGCTTTCACAATAGTCTTCCATCTCAGCCTTTCAAGTACTACTCAAGTACCGTGAGCATCTCTGGGTATTGCTTTTTTTTTTATTTATTTATTATGTATAGTGTTCTGCCTGCATGTATCCTTGCAGGCTAGAAGAGGGCACCAGCTCTCATTGCAGATGGTTGTGAGCCACCATGTGGTTACTGGGAATTGAACTCAGGATCTCTTAAATAGCAGCAAGTGCTCTTAATTGCTGAGCCATCTCTCCAGCCTGTATTGATTTTTCTTAAGGCATTTTCTTATTGTTTCCATTTAAAAAATGTTTATATTACTACTACTACTACTGCTACTACTACTGCTACTGCTACTGCTACTGCTACTGCTACTGCTACTGCTACTGCTACTGCTACTGCTACT